TCTATAATCCAGCAGTAAATAAAGGAAACCAGAGGCTTTGTTGGTGATGGTTGGCTTTTTTTAAATAGCTCATTGATTTTGGACTGCATCCATCTCCAGCATTGTGACTACACTTCATATAGTAATTAACTACAAACCAGAGTACACTTCTCCAGCCAAGTCTTTTTTGTTTTGTAAATTTCATCGCATTTCAACACCCCTAACCAGTCAACCCTATTTCAAGCTGATATTCCTAAATTCAGTAAAAATAAGTATCAGCAACACTGCAACTCAGCCAAATTAAAATAGAGAATGTTTTTGACTCCATATAGCTCTGAGTGCCAGTGTACTATATGACTCATTTCTGCGAATGTTCAGGTCAGTCGATTACTGGGCCCACTAATGGTATCCATCCCAAGACCCATAGAAACCAACTAACCCTTCCCATTCACCAGGGAGGATGCCAGATCAAAAATTTTGTGCGTCAGGACTTTTTAGATCAACTGGGCATTAACTTTGAGGCATTTTACTGGCAACCAGGAGTCCTGGGCTCCATCCCTACTACAACTAGGTTCCCTCCTCTGCCCTGTACCATTCATGTCCTTCCCAATTGCCTGCTTGGATCAGATAACAGGGCGAAACAATGTGGATACACAGAGATGTCACTGCAACTCCTGCTACTAGAAATAGCAGCAAGCAGCTTTCCCAACTAGCATCTCCCCATTCCATATAAAGCAGGACATAAGCACAGCTTTGCCAAATCCCTTGAGTTAGGAGCGAGAGGAACAGAGTACTACAAAACTATCTACCTTCTTATAGTTGGGAGAATATGGGAACACCTGGCCCTGCCATTTGACCCCCCCAAGGTCAAATGAATGCTATTTCAGAGAAACAACACAAAGTTACTCCTTTATGACCAACATGCTTTCATTCATGAAAGAGCTTTCTCTTCAGAGGCTGTGAGTGAACAATTCCAATTGCCTGCTGTAAAAAAAACAAAAAGTGCAGCAATGAATAGTAATTTTTTTTTTAAACTGATGAGCTCAAACAAAGCTTTTCGCTCTATCTCTGATACCTCCTAATCTGGTGACTGAAATGTGATGTAGGTTTCAAAGTATCTTATTCTGCCTCTCTGCAGAGACCATCTGCAGAAGGAGTAAGTTACCACTGTTTGGATTCTCATTACCTCAAATTAGCCTCAGCATAAGATGAGAGGAGCAGAGCCAAGCTTTCTGTGGGTCCTTACATGGCACCTGTTAGCACTCCATAAAGGACACAGAAAAGCGAGGCCAGGTTTCTCTGCTGTCTGTCCACATCAAAGCTTTCCTGTCAGACTATTGAAACCTCTTCTGACAGCAACTTTCAGCCTGCCCACCCACACCATTTAATCCACTAACAATGAATCAGTTGTCTTGCTTGGGAGTGTCCCCAAGGAGTGCAGGGACTGCATAAGGGAATTGGGGGGCAATAGAAGGATGACTGTGCCAAGTAACATGTAGTATCACCACATAGACATATATCCAAGCTAAATCAATACATTTGTTTACATGCAAGCCTAAAAAAGGTTGGGACAAAGAAAACAGTAAATTCAAAGGAGAATCTTCTGGTTATCGAAGGGGAAAGTGAGATAGAAAATGAAAGCAGCCTGTTTGATCATTTATTTAAATAGTTCTGCTGGGCATTTCAAGCTGCAGCCACAGAAGCAAAGGTAGAAAGATGGGCACATCTTTGGATGGGACAAACTGACCCACTCCAAAATACATCCAAAACAAAGCCACCTGTGAAGAGCGAGAGGGTAATATACTAGGATCATTACAACGGGCACATTCTCCTCTTTTACGCTGCTCTTATAACAGTTTGGCACACTTAACACATCTCATCCACTGACTCCGTTTGGAGCAGAGTCATTAATAACACACCTGTAGAGTGACTAATACCATGGTTATGACTTTTAGGCTACATCATGGACCAAAACATTAAGAGAAAGTGAATCCAGCAGCTTTCCATGAAACCCTGCCCCAGGGGCCTGATTACATTCATCATGCCAAACATCCGAAGATTTTGTGAAAATGTATAATTTTGCAGGAGCTGATTTTGATGACATGCTTCTCAAGCAGCCAGCTGGTCCTTTCATTCCTGCCTCTCTCTTTTCCTCCTGCCCTGGTACTAATGGGGAGGGCATTTTACAGCCTGCAGCTGATGCCAATGTACCTCTTCCTACTCAAATCAGGTGTTAAGAGCAACAGCATTAGAGACAGGAGTTCAAGCAAAAAACATCCATGCAGAAGCTTGATTTATTAAGTGTTTGAGCAAGGACTGGGTCGCTAATATTAAAAACTTTAAAGGAGGAAAAATAGCAGGATTGAACCATAGTGCTAAGGCTGTCCATATATATGGATTAGGCATTAGCCCAAATGTAACAAGCCTGCCCACAGCTGTGGTATACTTAATCAGGTCTTACAGACTAATTACTTTGCTCAACTAAATCCAGCACCTGTGAAAATTGTCTTATTTCAGCTGTGGGCAAAGCTACTTAAATAACATTTTCAATTTCAAGAAGAAAAACCAAAATAAAATCTCAAGTCCAAAATGTCCACAGTCAACTGCAGTACCCAGGCAGTGTAGAGGGAACATTTAACTGAACTTACATCAAAATTCCTACTCACAGAGAAAGCTCTTTCCTATTCATACTTGTAGTATTGTAGTATTTAATTGCAGGTCCTCAGAACTAAGTGTCTTTTGACTTTCATGAAAGAAAATAAGGAGATGAGAACTTAAACACACACACACACACATATTCTCTGTCTCCTCCCTTCCCCCCATCAAAGTTGCTGTGTTTTCCCACTGAAATGTAATTCCCACAACTATGTTCTCAGAGCTGGACTCCTGAAAATCCATTTCTTATACCATATTAGTCTTGAAAATTATTTCATCAGTATGGGTATATTAACAGTATTGTCTGCTAGAAGTACGTAAAAAGCAGTTAAGAATTCCTCAACAGTAGGCAGCAAGGCTAAACATTGCTTTGATCACACTAACAGTACTAAAAATGTGTATATATAAAAGAAAGTAAATTGTGCAAGTAAACATTACTGCACACAAATTAATAAACTGCTATTTTTTTTAGCAACTCTGAGCCAGTTCTCACTGCTGCAGGAAACATGAAATCTAAGAGGCACATGAAAGCTTCTGAAATAAGGATATTTATTTTCTCAGACTTTGAACATGCTTTTGGCACACTTACACTTTATCATTCAAAATCACAACAAACAAAAACAGACCAAAAGGACAGAGTTAATTCAATGCAAAGATCTTCCCTCTAAGTAAATGTCTCACATAGTACTACTCTTAGCAACAGCATGTCTATACAGCACAAGATAAAGAGAGAGGCTTTTCACTGACACCTGGGACAAAACCAAAGAACAAAAGCAGCTCCCAATGCAAAAGAGAAAAGTTACATTTTTCAAGTGTTCCCACCTAATGTAGACAGAAGGCCAGCCATAACAAATTACAAACAACCAATTTACCCACTTCCAGAAAATGCTTGTAAATTTAAACTGTGTGAAATGTCTAACTACTTCTTTCATTCCATCAAAAGGCTTCATCAGCAATGGACAATAAAGCCACTGGCTTGACCCAAAGGGGCTAATAGGTTAATCTATTCTGACCTTGTCTTTATTCAGTCACGATACTGAAAGATTGCTTGAATAACTTACCAGCATTTAACAATGCCAAGTCACCCTTTTACTACAGTGCTCCTGCCCTCCAAATTTTTTAATAATGGGGGGATATTAAAAATTTTCAAAGATTAATTGTAAAATAAACCAAAATGCCTTTTTTCACTCATAGGTACAGAACAGGGGAAAGAGAGGTAAACGACCAAAAGCAGAAGAAAATTTTTATCTTGCCCTTGCATGTCTCTCAGACTTCTGCCATTACTTATTGTCAATTTTAGATAATATGCTATCTCTTATTACCTGTCAATCACATCTTTTAGTTATAGTATTTTCACTCAAATGGAAGAAACTAGACAAAAAAGCTACTATTTGATAAAGACTGCCTTGTAACAATAGGCTTAATCATATGGACTTCAACACTTGGTATTTTAATAACTACTGGCTTGTTGTCAAAACCCATTCCATGAGGGTGCTCAGCACTAAATACAGCAAAGCAGTGAGTTAAAATTAAGCACTTAATTAGGCCCACAGAAGTCAGTAAGCTGGATTCATCACGCAATGATTGATTTAATCACTCAACTCTCCTATTTAGAGTTCATGGCATATGCTTAAATGCCCTTCTAGAAAAAAAAAAGTCTCCAGTGCTCAACACTGTATAGTGCACAATCCTACACAAGCATTTTCCTCCCTGTAGTAGTACAATAACCATCTGTATGAAGAAATTACGTAGACTTACATCAACCTGTTAGAGCAAGGTAGCTTTGAGAACAGCAAGAATTAAAAGAACAGACAAGGTTCCTTCATGCATTCATGTTTAACTGTGTGGCGATAATTCTTGAAAACAGATCACTCTTCATGTGACCTGCCAGGTAGTGACACATTTTGACACAGAGCGAGCTGTGTTCTCAGTTGACGTATCAGTTAGAGCACATATTCTTCAGCATCAAACAAATAAATGTATTTTCATTTAACATTCTATACCTGTAAATGGTTTGGCAACACAAGAGAACATCAAAAAGCATAACCAACCATCAGGCACCTAAATGACATTTGAAAATGCCTTGAAAAAAATCCGTGCCAATCTTTTTTTAAAATGATCCCGTGAACAAAGGCTAAGCTTAAACCTATTCCTAGAGTTTGGCAGATACTTAAAATACCAGTCAACACTAAGTGCCACCACCTTTTTCCAAAAGCAGGATCATCAAAGAACAGGGAAGTAAACAATAAGCCACTGACTACAGCGTGCAAGAGAAATTAGAAGCAAAACAAAGAGCTTTTCCTTTTGACTACAGAGGATACTTTTATAAACTACCCATAGGACTGCAGTACCTCAAAAGTTCCTACCTTGAAAAGCTGTGATATGACCAACAATCATGTATTTCAGTTCAAAGTTCAGTGCCTGGATACTTTGAGTCCTCTCCCTTCGAACAGCTGCCTGGTAGCTTTCTTCCATCTTTTTGGTACAACATGTTGGTGCTCCTTGTTGACAGATCTGTAAATCTGACTCTTAAAGCAAACAAGAAAAAACATTAATTAGAAAACCTTCCAACTTACACCATAAAAATAAAAAATGTTTCTTAATGCCAAAACAACCACCATGTTTAAAATTTTGAAACAGAACACAACCCATAAGGAATGACACTGCAAAACTCAGTTATTGTCTCAAGGACACCAATTCATGACTGTTTCCTAACGACCTAAATCTGGATAACATCATATTATCAGCTGCTAACTTATTTTACACTCAAGACCATTGGGCACAAAATCATCTGAACAGTCAAGGGCATAGCAGAATCACTGAAGATGCGCATTCAAAGAGGGAACATTTCCACTGTACACTTTGTGCTAAGGGCATCATAACTTGAACATCTGAGTGAAAACCGTGCCTCAAATTAGGACCCAATAGTCACCTCTGTAGTGCCTTAAGGAACTACCTATTCACCTCTTACACTAGGAGAAGCCTCTCAAAAATCTTCGGACTTCTGAGCAGCTCGCCCCCCCCCCCCCCCCCCCC